CCCGAGCACGCCGCCCCGCTCTAATTCTCCTCCCAGGCTTGCGGCACCAAGCAGCTGATTGGCACTGCAAGCCTGGGAGATGGGAGAAGTGGAGCGGCGACCGCGCGCTCGGGGAGGAACGCTGTAAAAAAAAAATTGGGGGCACCGCTTTTTGGTGCCTCCAAATCTTGGTGCCCTAGGCAACTGCCTAGTTCGCCTTAATGGTAGCACCGGCCCTGCATGCAGTCAGACCCACACCCCATACATCACACACATTCATCTCTTAATGCATCACACAATCGACAACCCATACATGACACTACCCATGCATTCCCACATCACACTACACACGCTCAGCTAGCTCCACCCATACATCCACTTGCAACACACATTCCTTTCAGCTCATGCTGCAATGTACATCAAACACATTGACAACACAATCACACACACTGGCCTCAGGCCCCTACATACATGCCTGCATGCACACATGCACAAAGGCACAAACATGCATGCATGCACACACACACAGAGCAGGCACAGCTGGATTACACACACACACACACACACACATTTTCAAGGGCTCACGAACCACAAATGAGGTCAGATTTCCAAGCCTGATCAGTTCCCAGCAGCCCCGCTGGGGTCACTGCCAGATGGGCTGAAATTTTTGGAAACACAGCCCCATGTTGTCCAGCCACAACACACAACATTTCAACCCACTCACATCCCCTTGCTGAGTCAACACTCCAGCTGCCTCTGCCAATGGTGGTTAACCACAGCCTGTGGTACCCCTCTACTAGGGTTACCGTACGTCCTCTTTTTCCCGGACATGTCCGGCTTTTCGGCACTCAAACCCCCGTCCGGGGGGAATTGCCAAAAAGCCGAACATGTCCGGGAAAATGCCGGCCAGGCACTTCCCCTCCTGCGGCGGCTCTGCTCCTCCCCTGACTCTTCGGCACTTCCCCTCCCGGGCTCCGGCGGCGCAGGGTCCGGAGGCATGGGGGCTGCCCAAAGCCCGTAGCACTCGGCTCTTAAACAAAGCCGAAGAGTCGGGGAGGAGCAGAGCCGCCGCGGCTGGAGGCTCTGCTACACCCCATATTCTGTCCACCGGATTGATATCACAAATGACCCCGCGCAACCCGCTCTGGGCAGC